AAGAGCTAGTGAGACAAGCCTAAGCTAAGACCAAGCTTTCATAATTAATAATAAGTCTCTGTGTCATTATTTGTGAGCTGGAGGCACAAAGAAAAGTCTGATTACATATGGCACCCAACTTCTGGACACATATTTCCACATAAGGACTGAGAAATCTTAAAAAACAAAACCCGACACAGCTTTCTAGTAACCCAGTGCTTGCAGCTTACAGAGGCATCGCTGCTGTACAGCAAACACTTGGGCAGCTGGTGCTCACTAAGTAGAAACACTGCAAGCTCAGCAAATACCCAGAGCTGGGGCAAATAAATGGTGCTCCCAGTCTGTGCCGTGGGCATAAGGCTGGGCTCTCAGACACCAGAGCAGGGTGGAGCCAGCCACCAGTGTCAGGGAAGGATGCAGGTGTGCAGTAAAGCAGTCCAGACCGAGAAACCTAAACAGATACAGTATGTTTAAAAATGTGCTTAGATGCTAAAGAAAGAAAAAAAAGGGTATAGACAGTCACAGAAAAATAAGTAAATAGCTTAAAAATAATAAAGTCTTTAAAGAGAGAGTAAAGTAATATAAAAAGAATAAGCCACGTAAAGAAAGGAAATACACAGGGTGTCCAGATCCTATATGGTGCTTTGTTGACTTTAAAATTTTTAAATGCTAATGAACAAAAAAACAATAGCTGCTGAGAGACACTGGATTATGGAAACTGCTAAATTAAACCAACCCGTATATTTTTTAAATGTCTTAGTTTCAAAATGAAAGTCAGAAAATATGTTGATTTGTGGGGAGAGGTTATGCCTTTGTTTCCATAGGAAACAAGAAGTTATGGTTATCTTCAAATTTAATAAAGATCAGAATTGATTGGCAGAGACTTCCTGAAAATCTTGGCTACAGTAATGAAGAAAAAAACAAGAAAGACTACAGGACAGGTAACATATATGCTGATCCCTCTTCTATTGGAACAGCTCTGAGACTGGATGAAACATAATACATCTTGTTGGGTACGGAGTCCTCATGACTTATTATTACATGCTACCCTTACATATGGCATGGATAGAGGTTTGGCTATATAGTCCAAATAAACTTATAAAGTTGGCAGATGTCTTTTTTTTTTTTTTTTTTTTTTTTTTTTTTGGTTTTTCGAGACAGGGTTTCTCTGTGTAGCTTTGCGCCTTTCCTGGAACTCACTTGGTAGCCCAGGCTGGCCTCGAACTCACAGAGATCCGCCTGCCTCTGCCTCCCGAGTGCTGGGATTAAAGGTGTGCGCCACCACCGCCCGGCTATTAAATAGGCACATATCTTTTTTTTTTTTTTTTCTTTTTTGGTTTTTTCGAGACAGGGTTTCTCTGTGTAGCTTTGCGCCTTTCCTGGAACTCACTTGGTAGCCCAGGCTGGCCTGGAACTCACAGAGATCCACCTGGCTCTGCCTCCCGAGTACTGGGATTAAAGGCGTGCGCCACCACCGCCCAACGGCGGCAGATGTCTTTTATCTGTTCAAACATAGAACAAAAAAATCTTTAACTGATTTGTGCACACTGCACATTCCATACTTGTGTTAATACAGATATATATGTTACCTTTAAAAGGTTTTGTGTTTTCAGATAAAAAGGACCAGATGCCAACAAAAACAAGTAGCCCAGATGATCCAGTCTCTTAGAATGCCTCTGTTGCAGTTTCCTCAAAATTCTGCATCCAGAACAACTTCAAAGCTGCTAGCTGAGATGGTCCAGCCTCACAGAATATCCAGCCAGAATTTCAGATGAGCCCTGTACTTTCCCATCATGCTGAGACTGGACAACAGGTAGCTCTCCCAGAATTTGACCATTATCTCAATTTTCTCAGGGTCTCCTAAAATGCCAGCACCCCCAGACAAGAGGAAGCAGTCTAGAAAACACAATGCCTGCATTCCCAAGAGGTGGAGTGGATGATTTTTGGTCATTCAATGGATTACAGATTTTTATCATAATTTAGGGGGTTTGGTTACAAGTTATTATTAGTAATAATCAGGAAAAAGTAAAGAAAGGAGATTAGATTCGGGGGTCTCTTTCTGAAGGGAAAAAGAAGGGCTATAGTATAGAAATGATGGGGTAAAAGTGTGGATTGTTGAGTCTACTTTTGAACAACCACTAGTCTCAAATGTTTTACATTGCTATAAATTTTTGTACATATACAAATTTAAGATTATACTGTATATATGTTTCTAGTCTTGTTTAAGGTATTATACCTATGTAGCTTATTTAAAAATGTAATGTAAAGGTCTGGGCCTTAAAAGCAATTTAGAATAAAGAAATACAGGTTAGTAACTAGTCATCTATAATAATCAAACATGTAGCCATGTTAGATATGTTTTCAGGGTCAAACAGGGATATATTTTAGATAGACAAATGGTCTTCAAACACTCTAGAGACCTACAGAATATGGCATTTAAGATGTTTTAATAACCTAAGGCTCGCCGGGCGGTGGTGGCGCACGCCTTTAATCCCAGCACTCGGGAGGCAGAGCCAGGCGGATCGCTGTGAGTTCGAGGCCAGCCTGGGCTACCAAGTGAGCTCCAGGAAAGGCGCAAAACTATGCAGAGAAACCCTGTCTCGAAAAACCAAAAAAATAAATAAATAAATAAATAAATAAATATAAAAATAAAAAATAACCTAAGGCTCTTCATGATAATG